TCGAACCGGCAACCTTCCGATTACAAGACGAACTCCCAACTCTTGAGCCACGATCGCCCCAGTTATGGCGTGAACCTCATTTTAATGAGATTAACACTGACAGCGCTAATTATTATATTAACTAATTATATATCTTAGCTAATATTATGTTATCAGTGTGCTTAACACTTAAATGTGTAATAAACTGCAAAACAAGATTTGTTTTTAAACTTAAAATCTCCGTCAAATTAAATTTTGGACGCATAAAATATTCTGACAGGAATCATTAGAGTCAATTGCTTGTCTAGGAATTCATAAACAAATAATCCAAATGATGATACATTTTCCAAAGCCCCTCTTCCCAGCACTCATTTTGACATGACAAAGTGGGACAGCACAGGTGTCTCTAATGATGTTAATGAAGGTTTTGTTCTATCTGCATGCAAGTGGTAATCAATGTAATTAGTCACACCTGTGTTTGAGAACTAAAAGGTCCGTTCGACAGATGAACTACTGGAAGCAATATGTTACTTGCACATGTGTTAAACTCATACTAATGGGGAGTCTGCACAGCCATCATTGTGCACAATTAAATTCAAACAGTGAACTTCCAGTATGCAAATCTCATTTTTGAGTGCAGATGTGCAGTAAATGAAACTATGTGGTCATAGTTTCTGTGAGCCACTCGTAGAGGTGAAACACAAACAGCGTGAGTACATAAACAAAGTAATGTAACTTGCACACAAATGCATGACTCACCCGCCTCTGATGTAATCCAGGAAGGTGTGCTCTGACTCTACACTGAATGACAACAAGGATACCTGAGAGGGAAAAAAAGGCCCCGAAAGATTAACTCGTCCTTTTTAATTAAACGAAATTTACCAATCTACACATTAACACTGACCTCTCAAAATGACCTATCCATGCAAAATGATTGCGTTGCCGAAGCAGCGCCTTAGAATTACAATCACTGAGCGTCAGTGTGCCTGTGGACTGATGGATGATCAGCTTGATGGATAGCTAGTCACAAATTTTAATTACAGTCACAGAATACGCTAAGAGCTGCAGCAAAGCCGCCGCTCATTTATGAACTTCTGTCACTATTCTTCAGTGAAAGGACACAGACACGAGTCTCTTTTATTTAGCTTTACAGACTTGAATAATCATCCCGTTTGAGGTCATGGGAATGTTTTCCCGTCTACTTAAATTCACTGTCTGGATCATAAGCTCGGGGACTGGGAATAGAACAAAAACATTTAACAGAGTTCATGCAATCCACTTAGTGGAAACTTCTTGCTGAATACAAAAGAGAAGGCAGGCAGGGGTGTGCGTGCACAAGGAGATTTGCTCTTACAGTATCTCAGACTCACCGTCCCAGAGTTGATGTATCTCTTCTTCTTTATTTTCTTCTTGGCATTCACCACCTGGTATGAAGGTAGAATGGGAACGAAGGATAATGATAATGTAAACTTGCAGCACAATTCTTTTTATCCACCCTTGGGCAAGTAATAAAAACATCTTTGTCCTCCTACTCTATGTCTGTAAGGGTAATGGAGCATAGGGAGTGAATCCAATAACTGTAGCAGGTGAGAATGAGATACCATTGATCATGCCTTCCAGCAAAGTGCAGATAATTCAGAGGGATTTCTATAAGCATAAGCAGTCTACTGTAAATTTCACATGCATGCTGCCAGCTGTGGTGCTTATAACCACATACAGAATGAGTGCAAGTGCACAGTTATGTGCAGTGGGGGCAGATGCATAAGCCAGGTCCAAGCTTTTGGATAGTGACAATTTTTGTGCTTTTGCCTCTATGTACCACCACAGAGGAAGAAAGGAAATGAAGCTCAAAATATTGCTTCAAATTTTTCTGCGCAGTCCCTCCATTCCCATGCCATCAAAAGTAATTGACTGGTAAATGAAACTGATAAAAGGTATGCAGTTGATTCCAAAATTTGCATTCGGTAATTAGTCTGAGAAAACAAAGGCGAGCCATCAGAGAGAGCAGAAAATATAGGAGTGGCCAAGACAACAATCTGGCTAATTCTGAAAAGGAAGGAAAGCGCTGGTGAGTTCAAGCCTGGACGACCATGAAAAATAACTTAAACTGAATGATCTCAGAATTCCTTTCACAACCTCTCGCCAAATCAAGAGCACCTCAACAGGAGTAGGCGTGTCAGAGCCTGCAA